CAAGAAGTTGAGAAAATAAACAAATTGCAGTATTCCTTCAATTTGCATGCCTGATACTACTAGTAAAGTCAGCATTTTACAAGTCTACAAAAGTATATTGAGACAGTTCCCAGTCTTAATTACAGGGTAATAGTCAACATGTGCAATTCGTGAAGTGCATTCAAAGGTTATGTAGTACAAGGATGACTTCTGGTGAGGACTTGTCCTGACATTTCAGCAAATTGAGTATCTTTTGGTCTCACCCAGGAGATGGCAGTGCCAACCCCTCCAACCTACCTATCATCGGAGCTTCTCAAAAACACAATTTTCTAAAGCACATCCTTTATTTTATCACCAACAATGTAAAATAGTAGAGGAGAGGGGAGGTTCAAAAGGTTCATGGTCCACATGGATCAGTAGAATTAATAGATAATGTGTAGATTTTCCATGAAATTTTTGAAGACTTCCCTCTGTTCTTCAAAGAGGAATAAATTTTGGCATGGATTTATAATCTGAAGCATGAAGCTTCCATCTCCTTGAATAACTTTCCTAAAAGAGGATAAAGAACAGCCACAATGCTGTGGGTTTGAATGTTCATGCATCTGTTGCAATCCTGATGCCCACAACGATAAAATTACTAGGTAGGACCATTGGAATGTGCTTATATAAGGAAGACCAAGCCCTCATGAATAGCCTTAGTGTCCTTATTAAAAAAGTCCAAAAAAAGCTTGTTTGTCCCTTCCATCACAAGAGCAGACAGTGAGACAGAGCCATCAATGAACGGAAATGGACCATCACCAGACTCAGATTGTGCTGGTATCTTGGCCTTGGAGTTCCCATTCTCTAAAACTGTGAGAAATGAATTTCTGTTGTTTACAACCTGCCTGCTGTATGGTACTTTGTTACTGCAGCATAAACCAAATAACACACCCCTGATCAAGACACTGAAAAATACATTAGTGGGAACAGCACAAATTTCCTTGACAACCCTTTGAAAATCATGAATGAACTTGGAGAGGCTGTCATTAACATGAGTCCCCTGATGTCATTACGGATGATGGGATCATCACGAAAATTGAACTTTACAATCAGAGACAAGGTGTTTGTGGTTTCCACAATAGGCAATAGTGCTAGAAGAGTAAGCAAAATTATTTGCTCTGTTGAGACAACTAATAGCCAATTAATCATGAGGTCCCTAAGACCAAAAGAGTTATTATTCCTCTAAATTATTATCTACGTTACATTGGATACCTCCTTGGTTCCCATCACATTGCCCTACTGCATTACTGAGCCATTATTTTTCTGGAATAGAATGATAAGTTTATGCAGAAATACTGTCTTCAGAATGTATGACAAATCTGCTGTCCCTAAAAGCAATATACAGCCATCATTTGGTGGGTGTCTTTGGATTCTAGAAGCAACCAAAATCTGTATTTGGTGCCTCTTAGGATGTTACATCCCATATTGAAGTGCCAGATCCAGTCCAGGGTACTCCACTTCCTATCCAGCTCCCTGCTAATGTGCCTGGCAAGCAACAGATGATGACTCAAGCTCTTGAGTCCTTGCCATCAAAGTGGGGACCCAGATAGAGTTCCAGCCTCCTGGCTTTGACCTGGCCCAGCCCTGGCTGTTGCAGCCATTTGTGAACCAGCAGATGGGAGATCTCTCTTTGTGTGTGTGTCTCTCTCTTTCTCTCTTTCACTCTTTTCTTCCTCTTTATCCTTTTCCAATTTAAAATAAATAAGTAAATTTTTTCTTTAAAACTTTGCATTTTGTGATATCCTCAAAATGAATGTACCTATACTCCTGAAACTCTTAAATTTAAATGAGGTGCAGAGAGAAACTTTTTCTGGCTACGTGAGCTTCACTTGATGTCTCTTGGTTTGGCTGAGCCAATAGATCTAATGAAATGTTAAGAGTCTGTGCCACGTAGAGCCTCTCTAAGACTGCAACAGAAGAATCAACAAAGGTCACTTGATTTACAAAACAGAGAGCTCTTTTCAAAAAATAGTATTTTGAGATTACCGCTCTTGGTTCTCATGGGAACTTTAAAGAGAATGACTCTCTGACCACAAGACACCACAAAGCCTGTAGCCTGAGCTTCCCATTATATACTGTTAAGCTTTTATTGTCTACTAAGCCATAAACTTGGGGATTACTAGTAGCACTCCATCATCCAAAAAAATGTACTACAAGCAATTCTGTGGCCAGCTCCAGTAATGAATAAACAAGTTGCATAACTAAGCACCAAAAAGGAAACCTGTTAAAGTGAAATGAACACTATGAGAAACGGTGACTTGATCAGCCCTCACCCTGACTGTTGATGAGCAACTTAATATGCTATCCCTCTTAGTATTTTTGTTTGTTTGTTCTACTTAATACTTTTGGTTGACTACTGTAATCAATACACAATTATTCTTAAGTGCTGAAACTTAACTGAAAAGTGATCACTGTTAAATATAAGAGTGGGGATAAGAGAGGGAAGAGATGTGCAATTCGGGACATGCTCAAGCTGACTTACCTCAAACAGTAGGGTTAGAAACATACCAGGGGATTCCAATTCAATCCCATCAAGGTGGCATGTACCAATGCCATCTCACTAGTCCCAGTGATCAATTTCTGTTCATAATTGATCATAATGATAGGACTAAGAACCAAAGGGATCACATAAACAAGAATAGTGTCTGCAAATACTAGCTGATAGAATAAAAAAGGGAGAGAATGATCCAACATGGGAAGTGAGATACACAGCAGACCCATAGAATGGCAGATGTCCTAAACAGCACTCCGGCCTCAGAATCAGCCCTTAAGGCATGCGGATCTGGCTGAAAAGCCCACGAGAGTATTTCAGGCATGGAAAGCCAAGACACTCTGGGGAGAAAAAAAAAAAAAAAAAACTAAACGAAAGATCTCCGTGAGTGAGATCCCAGTGGAAAGAACGGGTCATCAAAGAAGGAGGTACCTTTCTCTGAAGGGAGGAGAGAACTTCCACTTTGACCATGGCCTTGTCTAAATATGATCAGAGTCGGTGAACTCAGGGGGCTTCCATAGCCTTGGCAGCTCATGACAAGAGCCTACGGTGATCATTGATGCCATAAACAAGAGTGTCAATTTGTTAAGTCAACAACAGGAGTCACTGTGCACTTACTCCTCATGTAGGATCTTTGTCCTTAATGTGCTGTACATTGAGATTTAATGCTATAACTAGTACTCAAACAGTATTTTTCACTTTATGTTTCTGTGTGGGAGCAAACTGTTGAAATCTTTACTTAATGTATGCTAAACTGATCTTCTGTATATAAAGAGAATCGAAAATGAATCTTGATGTGAATGGAAGGGGAGAGGGAGTGGGAAAGGGAAGGGTTGCAGGTGGGAGGGACATTATGGGGGGGAAGCCATTGTAATCCATAAGCTGTACTTTGGAAATTTATATTCATTAAATAAAAGTTAAAAAAAATAAAGAAAAAAAAGCAATTTGCTCACCATCTCTATATGCTGTGCCTACTTACTAAACGGATGCCTCTCTTTCGGTATACGTTTTTATCCTTTTATCCTTATACACCTTTTATTTCGGTACACATTCTAGGACCATGTGACTGGGGAGGCAAAGGACAAGTTACTTTCCAAATTATTCTGCCTAATTAACTGACTCCATCTTGAAGTGAAATTAAGGTATGGTTCTGCAAAATAGATTTGAAGTGAATATTACAAGTTGGGCAGCATTTAAAATGGGACATCAGATTTTCACCATCTTTTTTCTAGGAAAAAAAGAGAGTCAAAGGCAAGTACCTATCTGTCTGTCTATATCTATACACATTTATGGTCAATTTAATGATTTTTATCAAAGGTATTGGAAGAATGGGATAAGAAGATTTGGAGGAGGAGGATGTTGACAGATGTCTTACAAAGGATCTGGAGTCTAAAGAATTTTGTGAATCATGTGAGTATTTGCTGAATGACAGAATGTACCCAGGAATCAGAGGGACAAAATGACCTGCACTGCAAAGTGTTTGCTTATTGAATTAATGAACAAAATGTCAGTAGAGGTGGGGAGTACAAACGGACTGCCCTGTAAATCATCATATTGCAGTCCCCTCCTGGCTGCAGGGGACAGAGCACCACACACATATGCCTGAGGGCATGGTAGGTGATACTGAAACTTCTATGAAGTGCTGCAATACTGCAACAGTTAATTTGATGTCCATCATGGCTACTAAGAACAGGACAGTAGTATACACAGTACAGAGAGACTGGACAAAGGGATGATTCATATCCCAGGCTGGACAGAGCAGAAAGGTGAGAAACTTCATCATGCTACTCAGAACAGTGCCCAACTTAAACTTAATGAATTGTTCATTTCTAAAATTTTCCACTTATGTTTTAGACCGGGATTGCCTGTGGCTAACTGAAACTGCAGAAAGATAAACTGTGGATGATGGGGAGCTATCACATCCACAAAGCCTCTAATCAAACCTCAGAACCACATGCCAAGCAGATCAACAAATCATTCACTTCACAATGAAAACAACAACTCCATCCTTTTTCCCAACTCCAAGCATATCCATGTAAGCCTTCTTGCCTTGTCTCCCTCTACACTCAGTGCAGTCTATCCAATTTGGGGATATCTCTCTTTTTCTCTTGATCTTATCTTGGTTCTATTCCACTCAAGGCCTGACTGCTCATTATTCCTTTTCCCTTTCTACTGCTCCCTCCAGGCACAGACATGTTCCATCTATCTTTCAAAATAACCCTCACTTGACTGCCAACCCCACCTCTTGCCACCAATCATTTCTTCTTTAGTGCCCAGATAAGTGCCCTAACCAACTGGCTCTCTGGTTGTCTCCAATTCAAGTCTCTTTCAGCCTGAAAATCTAAAGGTCAACTTTGGACCTATTTTTCATGAATTAAAGCCATGGAGAATTGAGTACTGAAGTCAGGGAAGTAATTTTTCACCTAGAAAGATTTTAAGGTATCGCAAATTGAACTTTGAAAAGCTTATACAATTTGTGTTCATTCCAGCGGTAAGAAACAGAGTTTGGTATAGTATCTTAACTTGTAAACAAATTCGGGTGAATTTTTCCCTCCCATAGATTCTCTAAAATATACATTGTCCTTTCCAGGGATAATCTTCATTAGGCAGTGAAATTGGGACCCCCTCAGCCACAGAAGATATCCCAGATATGTGTGCTTCATCTAACTCTGTTAGTAGTTGTTGCAAGTGTCAAATACAACCATCACTTCTTAGTGTTTGGCTTGTCATATCTGAATATATGAATCATCTTTAAATATTGTACTTACAATGCCTTCTGTGAACAATCAATTTGCCCAGTTGTGCCTGGTAAAATTTAACATTATAATTTATTATTAAACCTATGCAATTAACTGTATTGCCATGAAAAGCAAAGGAAAACCAGTTATTTCTGAATCCTGAGAGATCGGTAAAAATCGGATATCAATTTTTATACTATAAGTCATTTCAATTTACAGATGCATAGTGTTTAAAGTTGGAGATAGCTTAAGAAGAAACAACATGAGTTCTCTATATAATCCTTAGAAGATAAAAATCTTAAAATTAATATTCTGAGCAGATGTTTGGCACAACAGTTAAGAAACACTGCTTTGAATGACTGCATCTCATATCAAACTCATATCAGAGTCAATTTCCAATGCCAGGTCGAATTCAAATTGCAGCATCCCCCTAATGTTCATCCTAGGAGGTAGCAGATGACGAGTCAAGTAGTTGAGTCCCTACCACCCAACTTGGGAGACTCAAATTGAGTTCCTCCATACTGACTTCAGTCTGGCCCACTCCTGACTGTTGATGGTGTTTGGGAAGTGGATCAGAGGATGGGAGATCACTGCCTGTCTCTGTCTATCTTTCAAATAAATAAATAAATAAGGATTTTAAAATATTAACAATATTCCAAATAAGCAATCACAATTAAACATCTCTTATTAGTTTATTCAGTCCTAAGCAACACATTTGTGTTCCAGTGGATCCTGAATCAACTCTGTGCTTCCCAAGGTCATCTAATAGTGAGCTAAAAAGTGCCCTGGAAATCCTGACTCAGTGGCCTGTTACGGTCTCAAAGACACAAAGGACGTGTCCACCTGGGGATGGTATGCACAGTTCATTCTTTGAAGGTTCAGTCTTTAAGAGTGTCTGTTACATCCTGTCCTTGATTCTCTGAAACTACTGTTGACTTAAAACAAAATCCTGGTCTGAGCTGTAAGCCCCAGAGTAAAAGTTATAGCTGCTGATGATATAGACTGCCATGGTAAATTTATTGCAAAAACCAACAGTATAGGCAAGGGAGAGAGTAAAATCCTCCATTGGGCATGACATATTATGCTTTATAAGAATGTCTTTAATGTTTTCTCTGAACCTAAGGACATACTATGATCAGGGGGAACATTAAAACACTCCAAGGTCTTCTATAACTTCTGAGAAATTACAGTAGTAACTTTACAAAGTTACCCTTTGAGTTAACAACTCTGCTTTCGGAGCTCTTACAGTGCTATTGGGGCTGATTAAGAAATATGGAGCATATCAAAAAAACTCAATTATTTCTAGATCTCACTTTTCATAATGTGAACGAATAAATCTTTATTTTATTTTATTTTCTGGGTCCCTACAGGGAATCTTTACTTTGTTTCTAAATCAAGTGTCCAATCTTGGAATGATAAAACTCAAACAAGTTTTCTGAAGTCTTTTGTCACTTGATTAAAAGAAAATCTGGCTGACTAACCGGTAAGAATCATAATATTTTACATATTCATAGCAAAGAATAACATTGCCTTTTAACAAATATTATCTTTTTCAAAAGTGAATGAAGGGGGTCAGCACTGTGGTGCAGCCAGTTCAGCCACTGCCTGCAACGAGCATCCCATATGAGTTCTGGTTTGAGTCCCGGCTGTTCCACTTCCCATCCAGCTTCTGCCTAATGTGCCTGGGAAAGCCAAAGGTGCTGTCCTATGAGGGCCCCTGCCAGCAATGTGGGAGACGTGGGTGGTTTCAAGCTCTTAGCTTTTGGTCATCCGGGGAGCAAAACAGCAGATGAAAGATCTTTCTTTCTCTCTACCTTTGCCCTCTCTCTCTGTACCTCTGCCTTTCAAGTAAATAATCTTTAAATGATAGAAGTGAGTGAAATGCGTTATTTTAAAATAAATTTATTCTTTTTTAAGAGTATTTATTTAATTGATTTGGGATGCAGCGAGAGACTTAGATATAGAGACAGACAGAGACCTCCCATAAACTGGTTCAACTCCCCAAATGCCTGGGAGCCGGAACTTCAATCCATACCTCATGTGTGAGTGGCAGGAACCCAAGTACTTGGGTTATCTTCTGCTGCCTCCCAGGGTACACATTAGCAGGAAGCTGAAACAGAGGGCAGCTGGGATTAGAACCTAGGTACCAAAACTGAGATATGGTGACTTACCTGAGGAACCAAATGCCCACTATTTCTACTTTTCTAACAATCAAGGATTTGAAGCATTCAGTCTTGAAACAGTAGAATATTTCAGAAGCATATGGAATATCTACAATCAGGGTAAACTACTTATATGGTGAATAAATAGTTTACCGGCTCTTTTGGGGCAGACTACATGTTCTAGAACAAAGTTATCCTATCATCATGTTTTAGATCAATTCATGCAATATTTTACACACAAAATATTCAAGCTCTTAAAAAATTACCTTTTGGGAAAATCATCAACCTGAATAATCTATGCCAAAATTTTAATATGTTTAATAATTTTTGTATCTCCACTAATTATAAACCAGGACTAATAATTTCATTCTGTTCAAATCTCCTTCAGCTTGCCTTACAAAACGAAATGCTTCTCTTCATTATTTCTTATTTTTATAGATTTTTGGAAAATTCACATTTATTTTAGGTCAAGATTTCTCATTCATTTTTTCTTAAAAGCAGAAGGCCTCATTAAGTCTAACATACAACTGTTTTCATACACATATATGCTCCTACTATACGCTTAGTATACCTAAGTAAATTAACTGACTTCTACTTAACCAGGAAGTACATACATGATAATTATCATCATATGCGGGCCGGCGCCGCGGCTCACTAGGCTAATCCTCTGCCTAGCGGCGCCGGCACACCGGGTTCTAGTCCCGGTTGGGGCGCCGGATTCTGTCCCGGTTGCCCCTCTTCCAGGCCAGCTCTCTGCTGTGGCCAGGGAGTGCAGTGGAGGATGGCCCAGGTGCTTGGGCCCTGCACCCCATGGGAGACCAGGAAAAGCACCTGGCTCCTGGCTCCTGCCACCGGATCAGCGCGGTGCGCCGGCCGCAGTGCGCCGGCCGCGGCGGCCATTGGAGGGTGAACCAACGGCAAAGGAAGACCTTTCTCTCTGTCTCTCTCTCTCACTATCCACTCTGCCTGTCAAAAAAAAAATTATCATCATATGCTAGTAATTTAGTGGGTAAACAAAGCTCACCCACTAGAGGCACATACATCACGTCTACCCCTCTATACAGTGACAAGTACAGCAGCACATAATCATTACAAGACCTAAAAGTATAGTAAGTGAGTGTTTCAGAAAATCTGTGGGAAATGGAACAAGAAGACAACTTATGTTGGTGCAAATTGATTTTGAAATAGTTTCTTTATGATAGGCATTTTCTGGGAACCTTTTAAAGGCCCCTCATATAGCTACTCCATAATCTAATAATGTAAGAATCCGAGTGACATATACTGAAAAGCATGCCTTATGGCCTAGGTGTCAGTGTTCTCTTACTTGAAAAACCATCTAGGAACCCAAAGGTTATTTATTAACCAGATTTAACATTAGTATAAGGTTATAAAGTTAACTAGGGATCTGGATTTTCTGTTTTAAGCTGACACATTAGGAATCACGATTTCTGCTGATATGAAACAATTTTTCAGACTTATGATTCAATTTAAATTAACACAATGTTGCATTATATATAATCAAATCATTTTTCAGTCTTATTTGATGAGTAAAGCAACATTAGAATGTAGAAAATTCAGACAAGGGGCCGGCGCTGTGGCATAGCAGGTAAAACTGCTGCCTGCTGTGCCGGCATTCCATATGGGTACCGTTTCGAGTCCTGGCTGCGCCACTTCCAATGCAGCTCCCAGCTAATGTGCCTGGGAAAGCAGTGGAAGATGGCCCAAGTCCTTGGGCTGCTACACGCATGTGGGAGACCCAGAAGAAGCTCCTGGCTGCTGGCTTCCGACTGGTCCAGCTCAGGCAGTTGTGGTCATTTGGGGAGTGAACAAGCAGATGGAACTCTCTCTGCCTCTGCCTCTCTGTAACTCTACCTCTCAAATAAATATATCTTTAAAATAAAAAAAGGAAAATTCAGACAAGCTAGTACCAACGAGTACTAAAATAAACAGAAATCTAATAATTACTTCAAAGAAAAGCCATATGGCTGTTTAATTACTTACTTATTTATCTATTTATATTTTTAAATTAGCCTGTTAAAAGTGTCAGTACTTATGCTATGTAACATGATGTTTAGATATATGTATACATTGTGGAATGTTCAAATCAAGCCGATTGACATGTGTATTGCTTCGTGTATTTAATCTTTGTGGGATGAGAACACTTTAAAGCTACTCTCTCAACAGTTTTCAAGTGTATGAGATATTGTTATTACTATAATTACCATGCTACACAACAGGGCTCTTGAATTTTTTCTCTTGTCTGTTTGAAACGTATCCTTTGACAAATGTCTCCCTAACCCCTGCATTCTCCATCCCCTGGTCACCATCGTTTTTACGAGTTTTAATATGGATCTGTTTTTAAATACAATTTATTGAAATAATACTATTTACCTAAGGATTTATCTTGTCTTTGTGAACTTGAATTCTTATATAAAAATATTGCTTAGTTATCAATAGAAGGGATTTTTCCCTTAAAAGCCTAACACATGTAAGTATTAAAAGGTCAGCTTCCTTATGTTCTACAAATGTGGGGGAATATGAGATTTACATTAGTCTTATTATTCTCTTTAAACTAATTATAACAGAGTTCCTTTAATCAGAAGAACATTAAAATCTAATTAATTAGTACCTAATGGAAGTAGGAAATATTTTATAGTGATACAAAAGATGCAGGCTATTCTCAATTACAGACACACAGGCACACAACTTGCAGTTTCATTTTCACAACCTCAGTTATGGGTAAAGCAAATAGAAGCACAGAAACTCATTCCTCTAGACCTCAAACAGCTACTCCCCTTACCAATAGGCACAAACCGATTTCTAAATTGATTTGCATACACGAATAGGCAAATAAGCATTAGATAATATGAAAGTGAGTTCTGTCACCTGTCATGCAACAGAGATTGCATGACAATCTCAGATTTCCATCATCTTGGTAGGGATCATCAAAAGGTCAGATCATAAATTTTCTGGTTATCGTCACCATTACCGAGGAACAAAACTTTCAATGTGCGAAATGGAACCAGAATCTAAGAAACAGAAGCAAAAACAAAGATGCAAAGCAGTAAAAATCAAGTGGAATCAGTAAGCAAAGGTAGATAATGTTTGATTGTCACTAAAATGACTTTAGGAATACAAAGCAAATGAACAAATAAACAAGCAAAAAGAATACACAAACACACATGCAAGCACACACACACACACACAGACACATACAGAGGGGGAGAGAGGGAGAGATTTGGCAGCACAATGCAATTGATTACCTAAAGTGAGACCACTTGGACATCTTGTCAATACCTCCAAAATCTCTGAGGAATAATTTTCAAAAGTAAAAACAGGGTCGGTGCTGTGGTATAGTGGGTAAAGCCTGCAGTGCCAGCCATCCCATATGGGTGTTGTTTCAGGTCTCTGCTCCTCCACTAATGATCTAGCTCCCTGCTAATGTGCCTGAGAAAGCAGTGGAAGATGGCCCAGGTCCTTGGGCCCCTGCACCCATGTGGGAGACCTGGTAGCAGCTCCTGGCTCCTGGCTTGGATCGTCTCAGCTCCAGATGTTGTGGCCACTTGGAGAGTGAACAAGCAGATGGAAGATATCTCTCTTTCTCTCTCTCTCTCTCTCTCTCTCTCTCTCTCTCTCTCTCTCTCTGCCTCTGCCTTTCTGTAACTTCCTTTCAAATAAATAAACCTTTTTTTAAAGAAGTAAAAACAGGCTGGTGCCGCGGCTCACTAGGCTAATCCTCCGCCTGCGGCGCCGGCACCCTGGGTTCTAGTGCCTGTCAGGGCGCCGGATTTTGCCCCAGTTGCTCCTCTTCCAGTCCAGCTCTCTGCCCCATGCCGTAGTGGCCACTTGAGGAGTGAACCAACGGAAAAAGGAAGACCTTTCTCTCTGTCTCTCTCTCTCTCTCACTGTCTAACCCTGCCTGTCAAAAAAAAAAAAAAAAAACCACAAAATTTAAAAACATGACATCCAAATATCCAAATATATAAACAAGTGTCAAATATAGTATACAACTTATTAAATAATGCAGCAGCAAGACGGAAAAATTATTCAAAGAATATTTGAGGATTATATTTGTGGTCAGTTTGATGAAGAACAAGATTGCTAATGTAGTTACAAAAGTGCTTAATGTCTTAACAGCAAAATAAGCCAAAACCTTTAGGTCATTTTTCCACTGGAAAGAAATTATTTGCAATTCTAAGAAACAAAAATATACAAACTAACATGTCATCTGTCCAAGTCTGGGAAATTTAATCGGTTGTAAACAGTGAGTTGAACATTCTCCTAGATAATAGAGCGAGCCTTTGGTGGTCCTGATGAACAGTGTCACTGTATATCACTGGAAAGTAATGCCATTTGTGTTTGTTTCTGCCCTATTTCAGAGTTGTAAATACTTTCTCATAACACACCCCTACTCCAACAGATCTAAAACTAAGTCCATTATCACTTTTTTGAGAACATTTCTCTTTTTCTACTTCCTATTTTAGCTAATGGCATCAATATACACTCAATCATCAAGTCCAAAGCTTGATAAACAGGTTCTTCCCTCCCATGCCCTACCCCCAATACAAACAACCACCAACTCTATGTGTGTTATTTTTTCAGTTTTTGAGATCTATCCTTGAAACTTTGTCTCTGCCACTTTTTGCGCCCTAAACAGACCCATGTGAACCTCACCATCAGATGAAGTGTGCAATCAGCAGGTTCCACAGTGGTCCCCAATGCACCCCGTGTCAAGATATTCAAACCTTTGTGTCATCCTCTACCTGGTGTTGGATATCATGGGCCTTCCTTCCTAAAGGGAGAAGAAGGCAAAGGGGCTGTGAGGTCTCTTTGGTTATGTTATAGAAGACTTTAACTTCTTTCTTCTAATAGATTCTCTCCCTTGCTGGCTTTGAGGAAGCAAACCTCCATGTAGACAAGGGACAGAGGCAGTCTCTAGGCAACAGCTAGCAAGCAGCTGAGGTTCTCAGTCTGACAATTCGCAGGGTGTTGAATCCCACAGGCTAACAGCCACCTGAGCTTAGAAGCAGATCCTTCCCTATCCGAGCCTCAAATCAGATTCCAGCCCTGGCCAACATCTTCACTATACCCTAGTGAGATTCCCATGGAGCAGAAAACCTGGTTAAGCCGCACTCTAAATCTTAACTTTCAGAAATTCCGAGATAATAGATGTTTGCAGTTTTACCTCCTAAATTAGCAGTAAGGTGCTAGGAAGCAATGTATAACTAATATTGGAGCTTTTAATATTTATTATTTTCTAAGATTACATATTTTTAATTTACATGAGAGTCAATTTATTTGCTCCACTAAATAAAGACTTCAACAAATAAAAGTAAAATGATCATAGGTAAACAGGTTCTCAAGCCCCCACTTCCACAGGATTCTTTATAGTTAGGAAGCAGAGTCATCAAACTGACCAAATTGACTTACTTGAAAGGCAGAGTTACACCGAAAGAGGGAAAAACAGAGAGTCAGAGAGATTTTCCATTGGTTGGTTCACTACTCAAGTGACTAAAGCCAGGAGCCTGGAATTTTCATCCTGGTCTCTCATGTGGGTGGCAGAGGCCCAAGCACTTGGGCCATCTTCCACTGCTTTCCCAGATGCAGTAGCAGGGATCCAAACTTGCAGTAGGATGCTGACATTGCAGGCAGTGGCTTATCCCACTGAGCCACAACACTGGCCCCTTCATGTAATTTTTAATTTATAAGTTCCCTGAATATTGGATCACCTCACCCCCACAAAACTTTTTCACTGCTACCAGAATGTTCTTACTAACAGTATTTTTGTACTTTAAACTGCTCAACGATTACTCATTGCTAATACAAGAAAATGCAGCTGGCTAGCACACATCTTCAACGATCTGGCTACCATTTATTTTCCAAGGGTAATTTCCTATCATTCCACAAAGAGCATCCTAAGTGAATGTAGCTCATCCTCTGTATCAGACACTATCAAATTTCCCTGCATTTGCTGGTGTGTTTTTTCTGTTTAGATCCCCTATCCTCTATCCCAGCTTCCAACAAATGGTAAACAACTCATCTGCCGGATACAAATACTATGTCATATCCTCCATAAATCAGACACTCATGGGACTTACCATGTTGTGGCATAATTAACTTTGAAATTAGCATCTTGACCATGAGGTTGTGGTCAGATGGCTGGATCTAATTGTATTTATGTTTGTTTGGGGTAGCATTGATAAAATTTACATGTCCATCATATACATATGGAAAAATTCATTCTGTAAAGTTCTTCAATACAGTATCGAATGACTTAAAAATATGTTTGCTTAGCTTTGTTGCTTATAGAAAGCTACATATAGGATCTTGCTGTTACCCTTGTCCTTACACACATACACACACACACACACACACAGAGGGTACTTCAACTTTTAGTGTAAAAGGGAATAAAATATAAGTTGGGGGGGGGCTGGCACTGTGGTATAGTGTAATAAGTCTCTGCCTGCCGTACCAGCATCCCATATGGGCACCAGTTCTAGTCCTGGCTGCTCCTCTTTTGATGCAGCTCTCTCGTATGGCCTGGGAAAGCACTAGAGGATAGCCCAAGTGCTTGGACCCCTGCACCCGTGTGGGAGACCCGGAAGAAGCTCCTGGCTTCTGGCTTCAGATTGGCTCAGCTCTCGCCATTGCAGCCATTTGGGGAGTGAATCAGCAGATGAAAGAGATCTTCCTCTCTGTCTCTCCCTCTCTCTGTCTGTAACTCTACCTCTCAAATAAATAAATAAAATCATTTTTAAAAAATACATTGATTTTGGCATGAAAAGTTTTTTGATTCTATGCACAAAAGGGGTCTTCAAAAAGTTGATGGAAACTGCTTTATGAAAAAATACGTATGAATTTCAAAAATTTTGCACCTGAGTCATCTTATCTTTTTTTAAGATTTATTTTATTTATTTGAAAGTCAGAGTTAAACAGAGAGGGAAGGAGGCAGAAGGTAGATAGAGAGAGAGAGAGAGAGAGTTCTTCCATCTGATGGTTCACTCCCTAAATGGCTAAAGTGTCCAGAGCTGGGTTGAATTGAAGCCAGGAACCAGGAGATGCTTCCAGGTCTCCCACACAGGTGCAGGGACCCAAGGACTTGGGCCATATTCCACTGCTTTCCCAAGCCATAGCAAAGAGCTGGATCAGAAATGGAGCAGCCGGGACTTGAACTGGTGCCCATATGAGATGCCAGCACTTCAGGTAGTGGCTTTACCTGCTACACCTTATCTTTAAAAAAAACCCTTTTATTTAATAAATATAAATTTTGAAAGTACGACTTTTGGATTATAGTGTTTCTCCCCCCATAACCACCCTCCCACCCACAAACCATCCCATCTCCTACTCCCTCTCCCATCCCATTCTTCATTTGAAATCTTTGCTTAATAAATACTAAATTGATCTTCTGTATATAAAGATAATTGAAAATGAATCTTGATGTGAATGGGATTGGATAGGGAGCAAGAGATGGGAGAGTTACAGGTGGGAGGGAAGTTATGGGGGGGGCACTGTAATCCAAAAGCTGTACTTTGGAAATTTATATTTATTAAATAAAAGTTTAAGAAGATTCATTTTTAATTATCTTTATATACCTAAGATAAACTTTGTATATACTAAGTAAAGATTTCAACAGATTGTAACCACACAGACACACAAAGTATAAAGTACTGTTTGAATACTAGCTTCACTGTTAATTCGCATAGTACAACACATTAAGGGCAGAGATATGAAGCAAGCCCACCTTATCTTTTAAATCCACTTTTCTACAAACTTTTTGAAGTACTCTCAAATATAATTCCTGTTAATTTAATGTTTTCTAAATGAAATAATATGACTGACTTCCATTATTTAAAGGAATTCTTAAGTAAATCTTTATTTAAAGCTTTTATTTAGTGAATTCATTTTTCATAGGTACAACTTTAGGAATATAGTGGTTCTTTTCCCCATACCCGCCCTCCTTCACTGACTCCCATCCCTCATCCTACTCCCTCTCCCATCCCATTCTTCATTATGGTTCATTTTTAATTTAACTTTATATACAGAAGACCAACTCTATGCTAAATAAAGATTTCAACAGTTTGCACCAACCCACCCACCCACCCACAAACACACACACACACAACATATAAAGTACAGTTTGAGAACAAGCTTTACAGTTAATTCTCATAGTACAAATCATTGAGGACAGAGGTCCTACATGGGGAGTAAGTGCACAGTGACTTCTGTTGTTCATTTAACAATTAACACTCTTATTTATGACATCAGTGATCACTCAAGGCTCTTGCCATGAGCTGCCAAGGCTATGGAAGCCTTTTGTGACCACAGACTCCATTAGTATTTGGACAAGGCCATACGCAAAGCGGAAATTCTCTTCTCCCTTCAGAGAAAAGCACATCCTACTTTGATGGATCCTCCTTTGTTAAATCAAGAAATTCTTCTGAGAGCATGTTATTCTTGCGTACCCTTACTCTTTGTTGCCCTTAGGTTATAGTCAGTTACTTGTCTTTAAGTGAAGCTCATTAGGGGCGGGTGTTTGTTGCAGCAATCAAGACCCTGCTTGGTATGCCTGCATCCCATGTTTAAGCTTGAATTTGAGCCCTCGTCCTGCTTCTGACCCGAATTCCTGCTAATGAGTGCCCTGGGAGGCAGCAGGTAATGGCACAAGTACCTGGATCCCTGCCACCCTTATGAGAGAAACAGACCGAGTTCCAGGCTGGCACATTGGGAAAGAACACTGAATGGAAGTTCTCCCTCTCCTTCTCCCTCTCCCCTCTTCCCTCTCTCTCCTAATTCCTCCCTCTTTCCCTTCCTTTCTTGCTCTAACCCTCTTCTCTCTCTCTCACACACACATACACTCTCTAACCCTCTTCTTTCTATGTCTTTCAAATGTATAAATTCATTATTTTTAAGTGGAGCTCATTTATTTTCAGTCCTATGAAAGTAATATATTTGAGCAAATGCTTTTCTATCCCTGATAGTTCTCGAACATACATTAGGATTGACATTTAGATTATTTAATCCCAGGTAGATAAAGAGAGAGACAGAGAGAGAGAGAGAAGCTGTAGCTCAAGGCTATACAAAAATCGACATTGAAATAATTTTTGAAATCAATGCCATGACAAAGCAAGAATTACATGAATAACATTTGATGTTGAGTAAAATGTCTAGACTACATGTTTCAAATCATAGCGAAAGTCTCCATGTTCAGGCCTCTTAACTGGGAAAGAAAAGCTGAGAAGATTAAAGAATGACTAGTAGTTGAAGGTAAGTTAGACACCTGTTTCAAGTATTTTCTTCAAAGGGTGAAGAGCATAGATAAACAGAGTTCCAAATTTTAGGAAGAACAGGGCACTGAAGACAAATTTTGTATCCTTAAAAGGGGTCAGCCACTCAAGAACAACCAACCAACCACAGCTTTCTCTTATTTTTGCCTCGATTTTGCACAATACATTACTGAGGAAGGGACAGAACAAAGCAAATCAAAGGAGAATCCTTGTCATATGCTCCTGTTCCTTTCTTGGGTAAAACCGTAGTACTTACTTAAATACATAAAATTTGTATTACCTGAGCAAAAGTTTGGGAAATTTTTTCTTGTTTGCTTTTTTATAAAAAAGTGCCATGCATAATTTACCCTGAAGTGTTTGCAGTGACCTAAAACAAGATTGTCAAATATCACTGGCAACTTTCCTGGGCTTTACCTTGGTGCCTTTTCAGAAATTTAACATTTGAGATTATATCTCCAGTGGTTGAAAGAAATGACAGGTGGCTCAATAGTCAAACCAATTATTAAGG